CCCGAGCCCGCCCAGCGCGCGCCAGGCGCCGGCCGCCGGCACGCAGGGGCCCGCAGCAGCGCGGCCGGGGCCGCCGGCGGCGCCACGAGAGCGTGGGGACGGCGGCGGCGAGGGCGGGGCCGTGCCGCCCGCGGGGCAGCGGGGGCGGAAGGCGAAGGGGCGCACGCGGGGCGGGGATGGGGGGAGGAGCGAGCTTCAGAGGGAGGCGGAGAACTTGGGATTCTGGGAGTGGGAGGACGAGTGAGTGATCCACTGCCGGGATGGCGGGCGGGGATGGGGTCCCAGTTACAATCCGGGTGGGAATGAGTAGCTGCAGCCCCTCGAGAGGGGCCACACCACGCGTGTGGCAGCTGCCCGGCCGCGCTGGGCGCAGAGACTGACCGAACGCGCGCGCTCGGCCGGGGCGAAGCGGGGCGCCCGCACACCGCTGCCTTGCGCCGGCGAGAGGCGGCTCCCCCAAACCCCCAGGGCCACCAGTCTATCGCCCTGGCAGTTTTTCAGACCAACCAACCCGCCGCGCCTCACCCCACCGCAACGCCTGAACGCTGTGTCCTGCCTCCGCCGCCCCCTTGCCCCCTCAAGGGCCGCCAAGCTGTATGAGAAGGCGGGCGACTACTTCAAAGCCGCGGAGGGGGGCCGGCGGCGCCGCCGGACGACGGATAGGATGCGGATTTTTGAGGAGCTCCGCCGCAGGCGCGGCGTGGGTGGCGGCAGCAGCGACAGCGGCGGCGGCGGCGACGGGGGAAGCAGCGGCAGTGGGAGGAGGAGCAGCGGCGGCGGCGACAATGGGGGAAGCAGCAGCAGCGGCGGCGGCACGAGCAGCGGCGAGCGTGGCGGCAGCGACGGCGGGCGGCGGCGCGGCGCGGCCGCGGCGCCGGGCCGAGGGGATGACCGTCGGCGGCACGGGGCGGGGCGCGTGTTCGTTGATGACGACGCTGGCTGCAGCAGCGGCGGCAGCAGCAGCAGCAGCGGGGACGAGCGTAGCAGCGAGGAGAACGGCTCCGGCCCCGCAACGCCCACCAGCACCAGCATCGGGGACGGGCGCAACCGGCGCCCGGCGGAGGCGCTGCAAGCCAGCGGCGGCAGCGAGGGCGACAGCCCCGCGCCTGCGCGCGGCGGCAGCCCCGGGGAGGATGGCGACGGCGTCGCGCCGCGCCGGCGGCGGCGCAGCTCCGCGGCGGCGGCGCGTCAGCGCGTCATACTGGACTCTGAGCCGCAGGAGGGGCCGGAGCCGCCGCCGCTGACGTCATCCGCCGTCATCGCACACGCCGCCGCGGCCGACCCTGAGGGGGCGACCGCCCCGGGGGCTGCCGCCGGGGCTGCGCGGGCCGAGAAGCGCACGGCCGGAGAGGGCGACGAGGATGGGGAGGGGCGAGGCGCCGCAAACCAGGGGCCTGAGCGGCGGCAAAAAGCACCGCCAGAGGCCAAGGGCGGCGGCGGCGGCAGCGGCGGCGGCGGCGTCCTGGGAGAGTTACAGGGGCTTGGGCCTGGGGACCCGGCCGGCGGCGGCCAGGGGGCCGGCGGGGCGCGCGGCGAGGCGGCCGGCGGGCGCAGCAGCAGCAGCGACGGCGGGGGCGGGGGCGGGAGCGGGTCAGACGGGTTCGAGGGTCGCCCCGCGGGGGAGACGGTGGAGACGACTCGAAGGGAGCTTGAGGCGCAGGTGGGGTTTTGGATTTTCTGGGGTCGCAATCGGCGTCTGTGCTGGTGTGCCATGCGGAGCATTGGTCAGCCGTACCCGGGACGACCTCTCGCCTGACAGTGCAGCTGGCAACGCTGCAGCTCTGTGGACGCGTCAAGGTGCCTCTGCCCGTTTTGGCTTCTTGCTGACGTGCAGGTGCTCATGCTTACACCCACCAGCCGCGCGCCGTTGTGCAGCGACGCCCCTCTCTCGTCCCCAACGCCCAACACTGTGCAGCCCCCTGCGGCTTGCACACAAACCCAAGCGCCCCCCGCGTGGACGCCCCTCACCCCCAGATCGCCGAGCTGGCGCGCCGCAGGGCGGCCGCGGCGGAGCGCGGCGACCGCGCGGCGGCCGCGGGGCTGGGCGCGGGCATGCGGGGCCTCAAGGAGCGGCTGAGCCTGCTGCCCTTCTCATATGACAACACGTGAGGGCATCAGCTATATGCTGCATATACTGCTCGATCGACCGCCGGCGGTTGTGCTGCCACGGTCTCCGAGCCCTTGGCCAGGGGGGGCGGGCCCGCTGCGTTTGGAGGACCAGGCTGGGCTGCTGGCTCCCTTGTTTTTGCTGCGGGCAGCTTGCCGCGCATTGGTGGGCCGAGCGCCACGACGACGCCGGCTGCTGTGCGCTGAATGTTTTGCTCGCTTTCGACTCAACCAGCGCCACGATACCACCCGTGCAGGAACCGCGGCACGACCAACGCCGCGCGATTCGTGCCCGCCACCCGCAAGCGCCGCGCGCTGCCGCCCGAGCGCCTGTCGCCCGGGAAGCTGTTGGAGCAGCAGCTGCTGTTCAGGCAGCTGGAGCGCAACCACCGGCCGCGGCACCAGCAGCCCGCCGCTGGCGGCGGCGCAGCCAGCGGGGCGGAAGGGGCCGGGCGGCGCCGCGACCAGCTGGCGGCGCCTCAGCGTGCGGGGGCTAGCGGCGCCGCAACCGCGCGCGTCGCGGGCGAGGGGGGAACCAGCAGCAGCAGCAGTGATGGCGGCGACGATGATGACGATGAGATACCCCTGGCCCGGGTGATTCAGAGGCAGGCCGTGCTGGCAGGAAGGGGTGCGCCAATCGGCGGCGATGCGGCGAGAACGCAGCAGCAGGAAGTGCAGCAGCAGCAGCAGCAGCAAGAGCCGCCGCCTATGCTATCGCCGCTAGCGCATCCACCGCCCCCAATGCAGCAGCAGGAGCCGCAGCCGCAGCGGCAGCAGCAGCAGCAGCTGCAATTGCAATTGCAAGTGCAGCAACACCAACAGCAGCAAATTCCGCAGCTCCCACCGCCACAGCAGCAGCAGCAGCAGCAGCAGCAGCAGCAGCAGCAGCAGCAGCAGCAGCAGCAGCAGCAGCGGCAGCAACAACAGCAGCAACAACAGAGACACGAGCAGCACGTGGAGGAGGCGGTCTTGGAGCAGCAGCAGCAAGTGGCGTCAGCATGCCCGCCCTCATTCCAGGGGGCTGATGATGTGATTCCAGACAGCGAGGAGGAAGACGACTGAGACCCTCAGGCCCCAGCGATTGACGCATCCGTGGCGACCCGCGTGCCCACGTGATGGACGCGATAGTTGGTCGCTGGAAGCTGGAGAGGCAGGGGGCGCCGCGGCCGCCGTCGCGGCTGCATTCCACGCCCTTGCAGCGAAATGTCACTCTGAAGCCGGTGTACTCGACCAGGCGGCACCACCCTGCTTGGTAGCAATCGTAACTTGCCTTAATCCTGCCCATTATGCCCGCGCTCGTGCTGCACCGAGCCGGCAGTAGGCAGCAGCTGCGCCCTGGAATGCTGTGGCTGTGTCGCGCGTTTAAGGCACTGCAGGCATCAATCCGCCTGATTTCTGGCAGCCATCACTTCCAGAGAACAGCAGACGCTGCAAGCCTCGCAGCAGGCGCAGGCTGGGCTTCCCCAGCGCAACTGGCAGTTTCTCGGTTGTTGGTTACTGTTGCTGCTCACATGGATAGCACGGGGGGGTGGTGACATGGACCCGCGGTGCGCGCCCTGATACCCCGCCCGCACTGCGTCAATTGTCTACTAGTAGCGATCGCGTTGTTTCCCACCGGTCTATCGCCATGCGGCCGCATCAGAGCGCCTGATCGCCCTCTCACGGGACAATCTGTGGTCCCTCACGGCGTCCCCATTGGTAGCTAAATCATGTCAGATAATCGTAGCAACAAACCTGTGAGCGCCTTGAGCGCGTCACTGGGAAGATCGTCAGCAAGGTCCCTCGCTGGCAGCAGCAGGCCGCCATCGGCTCCTCCTTTCGACGAGGAGATTGGAGAGCTTGCGGCCGCTTCTTCGACGCCGTCACGCAGCTTGCTAGGTGCCAGCCCTCTGAGCCATGGCGACTCGTGGCGTGTGCAGCAACGCGACCGCATGCCGAGCGGTGGCGCATTCCCCCTCGGCAGCAGCCTGGGCACCAGCTTCACCGCCGGGCACTCGCTGCTGCTCAACAATTACGACCGCCGCCGGCCGACGGCGCACGCGTCCCCCAGCGGTGCGCGTGGGCGGGGGGCGCGGGCGGCGTCACTGGCATGCATCGCGTGCGGGGTTGCCGGGTGACGGCATCGTCGACGCTATTTTAGGACGAGCAATTACACACACGCGCACAGCTAGCGGCGGACGTGCCTGTTCGCAGCAGCCGCCCGCCTGCCCGCGGCATCAGCAACCCCCACATCTCCGCCCGCACAGGCGTTGCTTCCAGGGGGGTGAGGGGGCAGCAGCGCTCACAAATATCCGAATTTCATCCAACCTGTGTTTCCATAAACACCCGCAACAATTTCCAGGCCCCGTGCTGCTAGGCCAAGACCAGGATCAGGGCCTGACCGCCCCCCTGCTTTCTGGGGCACACTCAAATAGCTCATCCGACGCCCGGCCGCCGCCCGGCGCGGCCCCGCAGCCCCCGCGC